CCAGGCCCGAGCCCCCAAGTGGGTCGCAAATCGGGAGCCCAAACCACAATCGAAAGGATTCTTATTTAAAAAGCACCATTATTTGAATGACAAATGATATCAAAATATGGGGCATGCTTATAGTCAAATTGGAGCGGCTCGCATGAGATGATCCAACGAGCCCCAAGATCACTGAATTCTAACATTGTTAAGTTTACTTAAACATTTGAAAACTCTCTATGATCGAGGGATCAATGCGAGCCATCCAATGGAAGCACTCCGGACTAGAAGCTCGGATTCTTCTCTATATTTACGGGTTGTCCCTCATGAAAATCTATATTAGACGCCCCACTTTCACATGAAGGGGAACGTTTGGCTAGAATTGGAGTGAGCTCTAAGCTTCAAAGTGCTCCAGCAGCACCGCAAAGGCCGCCGGACAACTAAACAACCAACCACCGAATCTAACCAACCGGCACGACTGCCGTCGGAAATTCAGCTTGACCCTCGTCGGACCACCTCTCACCTCCGACTTTAAGCCACGACCTCGGTGCGGGCCACCCCTGAACTTCAGTTCGACCGTGCCATCGGACCACCGCCTTGCTGCTGATTGTCGTCGGGCTTAAGCCTGAACCATTGTTACCAACCGCGCCCGCAGCCTACAACCACCAAGCTTTCCGTCGTCCCCTGATTGTCCGCCAAAATCAGCCTGAACCATCGTAGACCTCCAACCTTGCATCAACTCTGCCGGACTTCACCCTGACTTGTTGAACACGCGGCCGACTACAACCAGCTATCAGACTTTCCATCTAGTCACCGACCATTGCCTGACTTCCACCCAACCATGGGCCGTCGCTAGACTTCGCCCGACGATGCGTTGGATCCTCAGCCTTACTTCCGACCCAGCAGAATTCACTGACCTTCGTCAGGCCATCCCGACGATGCTGACCGTCCATTAGATTTCCAAACCTGGCCCACGGACCGCTGCCGGACTTCAACCCACCTTCATTCGGACCATCGCCCATACTTATCAAACGCGCGTTGAACTTCCGCCTAGCCCTCTGCAATCAACCATAATTTAGAGCCTTGACCATCATCGGATCACGCACCTTGCCATTGATCACCCGGACTTCAGCCCAACCCATACGTCGAATCCACACATTTATTGCCGATCACCGGCCGGACTTTAGACCTAACCGTTGTTTGGACCACCGCTTAAGGCAGACGACCATGCCAAACTTCATCCGACCACAGACCATCGTCGGAATTCAGCCCAACCATGTCGGAACACCACATGACACCAGAATTCTACCGGCCCCCACCAGACGACCCTAAGTTCTGCTAGACCACCACCAACAACCAGAGTTAGTGCCAAACCACCAGCTGACGTAGGAGTTTCATTGGATCCAACTAGCCTGACCTTCCATCACTATATAATAGTCTTTCTGACCTCCTTTCACCTACTACGGTCCCTAATATTTTGACGCTCCATCGTCAAACAACGATCTTTCTGTCCACTGTCTCTTTACCGATTATGTCCTTACCAACCTTCGTCACATACTATAGTGCTTCTACTCCATTTGCCAAGATAACGGTCATTTTGACCCCTATCTCCTACCGACTACGGTCATTCGACCTTCCATCTCCTACTACAGTCCTCACGACATCCATCGCCAGACAACCTTCTTTTCTGACCACTGTCTCTCACCGACTAACAGTCCTTAATGACTTCCCTTATCAGAATAACAATCTTCCTTATCACTGGTCTTCTCGTTGACTTACTGGGTTCTTTCGACCTCCCTCGCCAGACAACGGTCCTTCCGACCAATGTCCCCACTACACAGAAAAACAGCTTATTTCTGGCAAAATTTTCGGCGGAAGTAAATTCGTCACTAAATTCCGGCGGCGTTTCCGGCGGATTACCGACGAAAACATTTTCCGTTAGATTTTCGATGGAATTTTTGAATTGGTTTTTCCAGGCATAATATTTCCGACGGAATTCTGAAAAAAAAAAAAGACTATAATAAATTTAATATCTAATTATTTTATTAAATTAAGTTAAAAAATTATAAATTATTATCAAAAATATTTTAATTGATTTATTAAATTAAAATTAATTAATAATAATTAATACTTTAGTATTAAATTAAAATATTATTAACTAATAATTACTTATCAAAAGTAAAATTATATTAAGGGTTGTTAAAATAAATTTATTAAATTAGATTACATTAATTAATTTGATTAAACAGGTATACGGCTTTTGTTTAAATTGAATTAAAGAACCAAATGTAAGATATTTGAATAAGTGGCATAGTGGTTGGGGCCTCAATGAAGGTTTGGCGAGGGTTCGAATCCTGCCTATGCCAGGTCGTGTTGCGCGGGTTCGCTAGTCACGGGCGAGGCAGTCATTTGACTGTCGTGGGCGGGTTTCTGGAGCGTCTTTGATTTGGCGGGTCTGGTGCAGCCCGTGAGTGAGTTGCTCGGGCTGCCGGATGGCTGATCCGATAGTTTCTTTTTATTTTTTTTTTTTATTTTTTAAATTCCGGCGCAAAATAGTCAGCCGGAAATTGTACCGGCGAAATTATTCCGCCGGAAATATTTCCAGCGGCCTATTTTACCGCCGGAACTGCTTTTCCGACGAGCGTTTTACCGTCAGAAAAAAAATCCGTCGGAAATCCGTTGAAATGCTAATTTTCGACAGATTTTTGGCATTTTCCTATGGATTTTGGCCGCCGGTAAGACACGAATTTCCTGTAGTTACAAAACTTTGATCTTTCTGCGTCGCCTGTCGACTATGGTTCTGCTGACTCAACAAGCATGTCAAATCCTAATTCTTCAAATTTCTCACCATGTAATATGATGTACATTTGCTACATCAACCCAAGGCCTTCCCCCAAAGGAAGGGCCTCATTTGTAATCAACTGCAAGTAATAGTGGATTCATTCAAACTGATCCAGGCCCCGTGGTCTTTCTCCATTTTCAGTGGTTTTCCACGTAAAGACTTTAGTGTCTCTTATGAACGATACACCTCTTCTTTTATCTGCTTTGTGTTGGATCTTCGTACAAAGTTAAAGACATGAAATTTTATAATCCTCTACATCCGGAATATTACAGGACACAACATTATTATTATTATTTAATAAAATAAATATAATCTTTATCTAAATTATATTCGAATTAAATAAACTTTCAACATGAATTTTTATGTTGACAAATAGTATTTTTTAAATTAATCATTATTTTTAGTTTGAAAAAAGATTAATTAAAGTTAGTTATTGTGCTGTCTACTAAATCTTTAGATCACATCAATAGTCTGCAGAAAAAAAGTGATAGAATGAATAGCTATTTTGCTTTTCCTAGCTTTTTAAAGTAATTTTAATAGTAAAAATTTAATTTTATACTACAAACCTGCTTTATGAACCACTAAAAAAATCATTCCAAACGAAGCCTTATGTCTTGTTTGGGAAAACTTTCTTCTCTTTCTAAACGTTTTGTTTGATAAAAAAAATTATAGCTAAAAATGTATGTATTATGAAGCATTAAGAAAATTGACTCAAACCAAATCTTATTTTTTTCTCTAAAAATTAAGTTAAAACTATCCTAACATAAATATATAAAAATTATTTAAAATTATTAATAATATTCTAAAAATATTGTTGGCAACATAATATTTATTTATGAAAATTGAAAATAATTTTTTATTACTACCAACACTAAAGCAATTAGAAATTTTTTATTATTAACTCTTTTTTTATTTTCATATAAATTTTTGAAAAATGATAAAAAAGAATTATAACAAAAAACAATGTTGATACTTGTCCTGAAAATAAAATTATATAAAAAATTCTCAAATAATTTATAATGAGTTCATTATGTTGATTAAAGTTTTGAATAAAGAAAAAAAAAAATGATATATCTTATTTATGAGAATAAGATATTATATTTGAATAAAATATTCATAAATAAATTTATTTGAATATGATAGCTATAAAGAAAAAAAGCTGTTATACGATTTTTTTGGTTTGTTTTAAAAATAATTTTTAAGAAGTTTCTTCTCCACAAGAGCTCCACAACTTTAAGCTTATATGTTAATGCTTTACACCTAATAATGGTTGAAATTTGTAATTAGATTGAGGGGCTTAGTGTACTGTGAGGCTGACAAGATATTCATTTATTTATATATATATCGTGTCATCTTAGAAACTTGTTGCATAAGAGAATATATATATATATATATATATATATATATATATATATATATATATATATATTAAAAAACTAATTTCCTTAAGATATAAGATTATTATTTTTCAAGACAATAGCTTTCACATTATTTATATTAAAAAAATACAATCTTGATTATTGTCATGTAAGAAAAATAAATGTCTTGCAGCCCTCTAAAATTATTTAATATTTTATTCCTTTATAAAAAAATTATAAGAGTAGCTTAATTAATCAAAATTTTCGTTAAAAATAATGCATGTTTACATATCCTACAACTGTTGATATGTTGCAACCACTTATAGTTATAGATCTAATGTTATGTTAAAATAATAAAAAATCATTAAGAATTTTATACAAATTCCCCTCACTTCATGTTTATGACGCTACAACTTTCACTATGATGAGTTCAATGAAATTTTTAAAGAGAAATTCACTAACATTTCACCATTTCTAGAATTTTTTTTTAATGTCTATAATAAGAAAAGTTTAACAAAATCTCATTTGTGAGATTTACCATACATATGTTAAAACTCATGAAAAGCAATATTTATTGGATTTAAATGTTTATAGTCTATCTATAGGTTACAAAGTCATAAATTTTGAATCGTAATTTAATTAGACATTTCATTGCTGAATTACTATTGTAAATCTTCATCCTCAGCAGAAGCATCAATGACAATGACAATCTTATCTTATTAGTCTAAATTAACACCAACAAGAAATTGGAGACGAAAAAATTTCAGACGAATATAGTAAGATCTTCAAAAGATGAGTGATTTTGTTAAGTACATCAAAACTAAAGAACATAAAAGAAATTTGCCACTTCGCAGTAACTCCATCAGTACAAACAGAAGCGATGTTTCCTATTATCAGATGAATACTGCTACATGAAAATAAAGTACAACAGAAACTGCATAAAGCACGCTAAAAAGGAATTTATTTAAACACATTCCTCCTCGACTACGTTTCGGCCTATGGAAAAAAACCATAAACAAAATCTAGTTGGAAAGACAAGGATTCTTCACCATCTTCACATTTACACAACACTATTATAAAAAAGAAACATATTTCAGCTAAAACTGGAACCTGCTCGGCCTGGCCTTCGTCATCCTTGCCTCTCCATAAGCCTCATCATTGTCCATCCGCTTGTTGTTCCTGAATGCAGCACATGCAACAACATACACAAACACAAGGATAATAAGGATCACAATGTTGATTATTGAGACCTTCCTCCAACTGTGTTTCAGGGTTGCTAAGAGACCAGCCTTGCACGAGTCACACTGGTAGCACAGCCGTTGCTGGTCATTGCTCCATCGAGTACAATCGATGTCATTCACCACCATCCCAGTGCCAGGGTTCCACACCGTCTCATTCACATAGTTATACTCACAAGATGTAGGTGGTTTGCAACAACCAGACTGCAATAAGAAGTTTCTTTAGAATTGAGTGAAGCAACTTCAATCATCGAAACCAAATTATGCACAAAGAACATTAGCAATTCACCATAGTTAAATTTAGCTTGGTTGAGGATCCAATTGTAAGGTTTGTAAGAAAATGCACGAACGCTTAAGGTACACGATTCAGTTTGGTTTTGAATACCTTATTTTCATTTCCAATCAAATAAAGCAAATACCTTTGAGGAGTTGTGTTGTGAAACTTTTTTTTAGTCTTGTGAAACTTAAATCTTACCCCACAAAGAAAAAGAACTAGGTAGGTTTAGTCATGAGTTGTTTTATTTGTAATAAAATAAAGCATACACGTTTGAGTTGTATCCAATATTTTTGTATTATTTCATTAAATACATAAGAGAATTTTATTATAATTTTTGTCTGATCTAGTTTAATTTTTATAAAGAGAGAGAGATTGTTTATGTAAGAATCAGAAAATTAGCATTGTAATTCTTCACAATCAAATAATAATGAAATATGAAACAACAATAAATAAAACATTGCCTTTTATTAGGTGAACTCATATAAGATTCTTTATACTTTTATGTGTTGATTTTCTTTTATATTTTCTATTCCTTTGCAGTCTCAGAAATTGAGATAGGTTCGCACTATTTCCAACATGGGTTATCTTCCTTACAAACCAAAACAATAGACAAATAAAAAAGCATGTCATAAAGTACCTTTCAAAGCTCACTTATGGCATGATCTACTGCAAATTTTAAAATCATATCTCTATTTTTTTTTTAATGCAAGGTAATCAACTTTTTATATGTTGATCCAAAAGTAGGCAAGGATATTACAATGGATGGAATTCCTAGAGATTTGACTGTTCAGGTAAAAGCAGAAGAGAGACCCTGAAAAGTAACTAAAAAAAGAGTACTAATTTTACATTTAGAAATTAATAGTGGAAGAAAAAATGCATCTATAATAGTTTTATAATCATTGATAATAACTACCATATTATCAGGAATCAAATACTGACGAATTGGTTCCCAGTATATGCTTTTACATCTCTTTCCTGCAAAAGAGATAAGAGCCACATAATATTGTGGCACATGAGCAACAGTAAGGATATAGGAAAAAGCAAGGTCCTCCACTTTACTTCCCCAAGTATCGCTAGGTATATGCAGTGCAGAAGTGGAAGGAATCCGGTGAGAGCTCAGTCTGCTAGAAAAGATGGACACTACCTAGGTCCAGGACCCAAAGAGCCGATACTGATGCAATTAATATGAAACATTAACTGAAAGCAATTGAATTTAACTTAAGATGAGTGCAATATAAATTTTAATTGATTTCCCATGTTACACTCATTTCGAAGTAAATCCAGTAACTTTAGGACCCATCCAGACCATAATTTAATTTCCTAATTTCTTTTCTATTTTATATGTTTATGTGTGATGTTATAGATTAAATTTGGCTCGTACATGAAAGCTTATAACTATATTGGCATGTTAATCACAATGACCAATTTGACCTAGTCTATTTCAGCAAACAAAATATCTCCCTTATTTTATAAGATAGCGATCCACAATGATAACCGGCTGACTAAAAAAACTTGATGTCTTTATGCTTTCGCAAGATCTCCCTATTTTTGGAAAGAAAATGGACCGGCATATTTTAATCTTTTCTTTCTAGCAAAATGGGTCCTAATGTAATTGGATTTAATTTGGGACGAGTTCAATATAATTTTTATTGATTATCCATCTATTACATTCATATCAAAATAAATCAAATGGCTTAAAAATCCAGATTTACTAAATTTTAGTCAAAATATTCTTACACAACTAAATTTCTCTATTTTTATAGGATAATGATTTGCATGGATAGCCATCAAATAACACTTGTAATATATTCAGACGTTTGCAAGAGAGTTCTCTAACTATTTTCCATGGGCAAGTGTGCTCTTAAATAATATAAAAGAGACAATATTGGCAAAGTGATTTGGTTGGATAAAATTTGGCAACTTCACCTCTTTAATTATCACCCCTCTCTAATTATCATGATAATTGGAGAGAATCCAAATACCATATCCTAAATAAGAGTGGCAAAAATTATTCTTCCATTTTTCCTTAATCATAGAACTAATGTGGCCCTCTTGTAGCCATCTTGCTTTGTTGTTGGTAGAAAAAAAGAGGAGAAGAGCCTGGAGTTATCTTTATTTTCCTTTTTTTTTCTTTTTTTTTCCTTTCCTGTTTTCTTCCCCATCATTCCTGCTCATAACGGATGGCCTTTTGGCTTGACTTTTGAAATTAATAGAAAATCTACAAAAGCCATGGCTTTGCTTCTTTCCACTTGTTCCATAATTCTAGTTTCGTTCGTCCTAATCTTTAATAAACAGTTAACTAAGTTATGATATTTTCTGTGAGCTTAGTTTGAGTAAATTTTTTGCGCTAATGATTATTACTGTGATAAATATTAATCATTTTTAATTCTAAAAACAATACTAATACTAATAATCACAATAATAATAAATAGCATAAGCATTTTTTTGAGCCAAGCTCTTAGAAAAATCTCTCAACTGAGAGAGCGACCAGTGCAATTATTTTTTGCTCGTCTCTTTTGTTGTTAAAGATGCAGCTGTACGAGCCTATAGAGAAGATCTGTTCAAGTAAGGTCGTAGCGACCAGTGCAACTATGTTTTAACGTGAAGATCTAAGTTTGATTTCACATCAAATAATTGAAAAAATGATGTAAAAAAAAAATTATTGGTTGTGGAATGCACACGTGTCCGCAAAATTGTAAATGAAGCCAGTCAAAAACGTAGGAAAAACACAGTCCACTTGGCAAATTTTAAGTGGATATCCTGACTTTTTTTTAGATATGGTGTCACGACCTAATATTGTAGGTAGATAAGCCCAAGATATTTTTTTTTTTAATATTGATTAACAGTCAATTTCTTGCATCAGCTAACTTCCTATCTGATTAAACGCACTGAAGACAAAGGATAAGACAAAGGGCTTCACTTCACCACAAAAATATGAATTCAAGTAAAAGAGACCAGCAAACATGGAAAGCAATTGCTCTCCTTGCTTGACCTAACTCAAAACGAATAGAAGACCTATTCACAAAAGTCCCAAACAAAGATCAAAGACAAATATTCATAAGAAATCAAACCAAAATCAACGGATTTTATCCATAAAAAAAAAAAAATTAAAAAAAATCCAAATCTAACCTCTAATTCCAAAGCTTTAGGAAGGAAAATGGACCAAGTAACTAACCTCAATCGGGGAAAGATGGCGCTGATAGAACATAGAAGCGGGCTCAGGAAAAATCGCCCCCGTCGCTGTATCTCGAACATTTCGGCGCATTCCAGAGCAAACATGTGAATCTCGAAGGCAAGAACTAATCTTCGACCAGTACTTAGGATCACTCACCCGGTTCTTAAGCCACCCAGAGTAATCCGAGAGCTGGTACTCTAAAAAAGCCCGGTTGATAATCACCTGACCGTGACCTTGATCAGTGACTGCGAACGCGAAGACTATGAAGCCGATTAGGGCAACTAGGACAATGAACATAACGACGAGGTAAAGCTGGAGTAGCCAAGTCTGGCGATAGCAAGCGCCGACGAATCCCATTAGAGAGATCACCATGATGGTGATTCCGATGATGATGATCGGCCACTGGAGAAAACGAAGGCACTCAGTGCTGTTAGCACGACTGCTCAGCCAAATCCCGCCACCCAGAATCGGAATCGAGGCCAGGAAAGTTATGAAATTTACGGCTCCAATAAGATTATTAGGTCCCTTCATCGTCTCTTTCCCTGTTAGGTTTTTTTGCTGATTTCTTGTATTGGTAGTGAGAGGAGAGAGGGCTGGGTGAGTTAAAGAGGGATTTTGCTGATGGATAGACGGTCGGTGTGGCTATGGTCCCTGTGGAGGAGTGGAGACAAGTGTGGGAATAAAGAATGAAGTTATATGGAATGCTGCTAAGCTCTCTAACGGGAGTTCCTGTCTTTATTAGTTGGGCGGTGGGGCTCGTTAAGCGGGAATAGTTTCTTATTTTCGCTCGGGAAAATTTAATTGGAATTATAGTAAATATAAACAACAATCTTTTAGAGAGAAGGTGATTTTTCAAAAATCTGTTTCACGCTTTTTTAGGTTTGCTCCGATGGCGGCGGAAGGACGCCGGCCTCCGTCCGCTAGCGGTCCTTTTGATCGGCGTTCTACTGCTGGTGCTCTGTGTTCGACTCGTTCGACTTTGGTCTAGTCTCTGCCTACTTTTGGAGATGTAAGCTCCGGTTTGGACAAAATGGGAAGATGAAGTTTTGAGACGGGTAAGACTTTAATCATCAACGAAGGCAGTTTGTTAACTTCTAAAAAACCTATAGAAGTTATAGGTAAAGGAAAAAATGTATTGGCCGAAAGCTTGGTTCAAATTTCAAATAAATCTGGACCTCTCCCAGATTCTAGATTTGATTTGAAATCTAACAGTGATGCTTCTTCTTCGTTTGGCGCTAAGGTGGCTTTGAATGTACTAGGAGATGCTAAACTTGTGGCTGATGATTCCAAGTGGTTAGGCTCTAAATTTGTGGATTCTGTTGGAACTAGTTTGATGATGATTCATGTTTTAGAAAGTGATAAGTTGGATTTTAATCCCTGTTATTCTGTTGGTACTCCAAAACCTGAAGAGGTTCGTTCTGTTCAATCAGTGGCTGATCTGGAGAAGGTCCGTATTTATGAATCAGGAGATTTGGGTGAGTGCAATAAAGTTGATAATCGGTCAGCTGTTCCCAAACAACCTTCTAGCAATGTGTTGCAAAAATGCTTGGAGTAAAAGTCAAATATCAATGTCATGGATCTGGATTATGGTGATTGTTTTTCTGAGGATGGTTCTATGGTTAAGCTGAATTTACAAAACGAATTGGAAAATTTAAAAAGCTTCAAAATTCGTTGGTGATCAAAGTATTTGGAGAGAATCTTCCCTTTCATATGGTTATCATGGAGTTGAGGAGACAATGGTCTCAATTTGGTTGATTTTACCTGACAATGCTTGGAAAGGGGTGGGTTCTATGTGCATTTTATGAGCCAAAAACACGGGACTCATTTTTTTTCTAATGGACCATAGTATGTTAATGTACATATCATTAGATTGGATAGATTGTGCCATCCCTTTCTCCTACCTCTTTGAAGGGGCTATCGGCTCCTGTATTGATTAGAATGCCAAATCTCCCATTACAATGTTGGGATGAAATTAATGTATACATGATTGCTTCTATGGTTTGTACGCCGTATATGATTACTAGAAATATGTTTCAATGGGGGAGAAAGGAATTTGCAAGAATTTGTGTTCTTATCAAGTTGGATGGAAAGTTGCCATTGAGTGTTTGGGTGGTGGGAAGCTCAGGTAAATTTTTTCAGAGAATCGAATATGAAAGGATATCTAACTTCTGCTTCAATTGTGGTAAAAAAGGACACTTAAAGAAGAATTATATGGACAAATCTTTGGAGGTGAATCAGGCTTCTAATCCAAATACGGATAAAATAATAAGTCCAACTATGATGGGAAACTCAAGAGCATCTAATGGGATTGTATTTGATGGAGATGCTAATAAAGCTGGGTATGGACCATGGGTTCATGTTAATTATGGGAAGAGAATGTTTAAAAGTTTTGGTTTCAGAAAAACTGGGTCCCGTCCATTGAAAAAGGATGGTGGGAAGGGGGTTAAATCAATGAAGATTATTAGAATTGAAAGGGAACCTGAGTTTGTCAAGTTGCCTAATGGGAGTGGTGAATCAGATCCATTGCTGGGAGGAGTGCTATCTAAAGGTGCAAATCCAGATTTAGCTTTAATTAAGGATTGTCCTATGCATATGATTACTTCGAAAAAAGAAGGGGGTATGGTTTCTAATTCTTATATTCCTCCTGTTGATGATAACAAATTTAAAGTCTTAAATGATATGGTTGAGGAAGAGGAGATAGTCTGCACAGAGAAGGTTGCTATGTCGTCGCCTAGCATCTTTGTTGATAATAGAGGATTGGGTGATGGATCTATAAAGATGAAAATGGAGGTGATGAATGGTTATTTCAACTTCAAAGAAGGTGATTCTTCTAATGTCAAGAAGAAAGGTTGTAAACAACTTAAAGGATTGGGTCCTATAAAATTGGCTCGTAGGAGTAGAAGAGTGGATGGTGAACAAAATGATAAAGTGGTGATATCTTCCCCTCTTGGACAATGATGTAATCTATAGCTTTATGAAACTATAAAGAAGCTAGGAAAAGGAAAGATTCTCTATATCTTAAGGAGTTCGTGAAGGATCATGGTGTCTTTTTTTTAGGTTTGTTGGAGACCAAATTGTCTTTGATTGATAGAAGGGATGTTAATTTATTAATTGATGCAGATTGGGATTATTTCCAAGTTCCATCAGAAGGATTGTAAGGAGTCATTCTTATGTTATGGAAGTCTAGTATGGTTACTTTTAATGTTTTGGAATATTTTCCCCATTTGTAATTGGAGAGTTAGATGTTCTTAATAAAAGTAGATGGAGGATTTCATCTATATATGGGAATAAGGATGTTTATATAATGAGGTTCTTTGGGGAAAGCTAGAATTTTATTCTTCCAAAGACTTACCTATGGTGGTGGGGGAGACTTTAATTGTTTACTTTCTAAGGAGGACAAAAGGGGAGGGAAGAGATTTATTTTTTTCCCAAGGACCTAAAGAGATGAAGTCATTTTTGGCTAGTAATGATTTTCATGAGGTTGGGAGTGTTGGCCCAAAATTTACTTGGTGTAATAACAAGACTGGTGCTGATCAAATCTTAGAGAGTGATTGCAATTCCAAATTCTTTCAAGCATTTGCTAGTGCAAGGAGAAGTTTTGATTATATTTTTAAAATTAAAGATGAAAATAGCTCTTTGGTGGAGGATCAACATCAATTTGAGGATGTTCTTTTTCATTTCTTTACGGAGAAATGGAAAGAAAGGAGCTGTATAGTAAAGGTTGGCCTTCCCTGTTGCGGATCTATGGCTTATGATTTTGATGATAGAAAACATTCTTTTTTCTCTACAACTGCCTTATCTACTGACATTTCAGGTTCACACGATTGGACTGCAATTTGGAATTAACTCAAGATTGGGTAGACTAGGTCTGAGTCAGTTTGTACACTTTTTTCTTTCTTGAGTCTATTATATTTGGTGTGGCTCCTATTGCTTTGTAACTTGGAAGATTTTTTGATTGTTCCCTAGAGTTTACTATTTTTGGTAACATTGTCCGGGACGATATTTATATCGGCCTGGTCGATCAGTTCAAAAAGCAGAAACCCTAATTAGAGCATCCTCATTAAAGCAGCCTTCATTATGCAAAATACATCATCCTGGACGATTTTGTATCGGCCAGGACGATAAGATCAAAATAGAATGAATCTACCGCCATATCTATTTAGGAATTACTTATTTTTGGACATTGTCCAGGTGGATCGTCCAGGACTATAAAATATCGTCCAGGATGATCTAGGGCAATTTTTCCAAAATTTCTCTGGAATTTAAGGAAAGCAATTATGACTTGATTGCACGATCAAATCGTCCTGGACGATCGCAAAATCGTCCAGGTCGATACGCTGGACGATTGGACTCAGACAACTATTTTTTAGGGCGATGTTCAGGACGATATTCCATGATTTGTTCAGATCGTCCAGAAAGATATATTATCATCCTAGACGATATGAACAAACTTCTTCTGATCGTCTCAAATCATCCCGGCTGATTGGGCTTATTTTGCACTGATTGTACAGGATAATATTAGTATCATCCGGGACGATAATGTTGGCAACTTGCATTAATGAGCTCATTTTGAGATCTTTTATTTAAGCTATGACATGACACTTTGTAAGTGTCTTTGGCATCCATTGTAGCTTCGTTCTTTTGGGGAAAGCTTGAAACAGAGTGAGGAAAGGATGGAGTTTGAGAGAGGGAGAAGATCCTGTGAGGGGCTACTCAAGGGAGTGTGGAGGGGGTTCCACACGGTTGCTCTGGCAAGCTCGTACCTGAATACCATCAGATTCAAGGCTTGTCTCGAGGGAAGTTCACCAAATAAGAAGATCTCTTTGGTGTCAAAGGACCCGACGACTCCGCCGCACTGGGGAAAGTGGAAGTGATTTTGTAAGGGCTTCTCCGCCTGGCTGTGGGGGCTAAAGGAGAGACACTTAGTTTAGTGCAATACTTGGAGGGTGCCTCTAAGGAGTGGATGTAGGTCAAGGTTTGAACGAATCACTATAAATCTGGTGTGTTCTTTCCTTTATTACTTCCGCATTTAATTTCCACATTTGGTTTTCTTTGTGGTGACATTGGTTTTGATTTGTGTTTTGATTGAAAGAATTTTTTTTTTACCAATTCACCTCTCTCTCTTAATTAGCTTTGGGCCAGTTCATAGGGCCTAACATCCCTAACGAACTTTCATTCCCCGTGGAATTGTTTGGATGAAGATGAAATAAGGATATTGAATAAAGAGTTCTCATTAGAAGAAGTGAAGGTTGTGGTTAAACAGGCTGGCAATAATATTACTCTAGGCAATGATGGTATTTCCTACTCCTTTATCAAATCTTATTGGGGCATTATTAAAGAAGATTTCTATAAAGTTATTAATCAGTTCTTGTATATGGGGGACATGAGTTCTATTTGGAAAGAGACTTTAATTGTTTTGACCCCTAAGGCGAGTAATCCTATGGCTCCTTCAAATTGTAGGCCCATTAGCTTGTGCAATACAATTTACAAGGTGGTTTCCAATGTTCTTTTGAACAGATATTCTTCTATTACTCTTAAATTTATTTTTAAAGAGCAAGTGATGTTTCTGAAAGAGAGGTCAATGCTGAAACATGTTCTGATTGCTCAGGAGGTATTTCATAAATTCAAGTACTCTAAATCTTCCAAAGGATTTGTCTCATTCAAAATAGATATGAACCAAGCTTATGATTCTATGGGTTGGCATAGTTTGGTGAA